CCTCGCTACACAGGGAACAATGCATGTCATGCTAAATACCCGAGATTATAGTAACTCTTCCGTCTTTGAATCGCGGAAAGGACATGTCCTACAGCCAACACATGTCGAGATAAAAAAAAAAAAACGCTGTGTCGCGAAATGGAAATGGCATGCAAGAAACAGAAGCACGCTGGCTAAATCCGACGATAAAAGCAACGCATTTTCGATGCTACCATTGGCAAGATAAGACACTGTCGAAGCCAATACGGCTTATAGATTTTCGCTGCTACTTGCCAAACGGTGCAAAAATACGTCTCTGAAACTCCGTCGCGTATCGTGCGATAAATTACTGCCTACGAATTTTTCGACGGTTCCATGCAATCGTAAATCTTCTCTAGCCTCAGCAAGAATACACGATAGAATCGAAAATTCTTTGAAAAGTGTTGACTTTCTATTTGATAAACTGAAGAGGGAGCAAAAGTTGGGCTTTCAGTTGGTAAATCATATCCTAAGTTTGTCCAGTTATACTGTGCGATTTTTGACCATTTACATTGTCCCTTCAGTGGGTTCCACTACATTGGTAACGACTAGACTGCCGATGTCTATGCATTTATGACGAGTGAAAATGCATAATCTGAATGATCCAACTTTGCAATAATTCCTACTAAATTATCAATGTTTCCACATTTATCCTAAGACCAAGAAGAAGATAGCGATGCTTTCATCGGTAAATCCATTCTTCGGATATACGCGAAATTTCATGGAGAATAGGTGAATACGATGCCGCGCTATATGCGCGTATACATACATATGCATCTCTATGTATGCGACGGGCTTGCATCAAGATCTATGTGCGTTTCCGGCGGTTTGCCGTTACGCGCATATATTGCTAGGAATTGGACCACAACGTAGGTAATATTGGTCCTCGAGACCGTGAACGTCGGTCGTACCTTCGCTCGAAGGAACTCGAGAAGCAAAATCATCTTTTCTCGCTCGCAACTATACACGCGACTACGAGGAACGCCAGTGGACGCAGTTGCTCTAAATTATCGCGTTATGTACAGAGAAGTGTACGAGAGATCTCGTGAAACTTTAGATGTAGGTATATTATTGTGTACTCGTTATAATGGGAAAAAACAAATGCACGTTGAGGATTCAATATGCCAAGTTAATCTTGGGATTTTTAGTTTAGATAAACTTTTAATTTAGCCTTCAGTCCATAGTATTCAGTGTTCAATATTCAGTCAGTCCATACCGCAAGAACACTGTTCAGTATTTTGCATTACTGCAATGACATTTCAATCGGGATAATTAGAAATCTCTTCTTAGATATTTATTATATCTCTTTCGTCTACTTTATCTACAAATTTCTGCACCCCCAAAGTTGAACGAGACGTTAGAAACGTTCGGTATTATTTCACCCTCCCACGACGTCGGAAGTTTTCACCTGTTCGAAATTGCAACAGTGTGTCTCACGCGAGCGAGAATTTTCATGAAATAATAGTGATCGATCTAGGGTGCGAGATCACGCAATTCCCAGCCGCGATAGGGCGAAAACTCGCGACGAAACCATATAGTCGTTCAAATATAACAACACGATCTGCGCAAGATTGCTATAATCCAAATTATCCGTTGTACTAATCAAGCATCGTGTATGTAAGTCTATTATAATTTCTTCTACGTTTAATAGAACAAAAAGAAAAGAAAAAAACACGATTCTTCAAAAATTACTTCAACAAAAAGGAGCCAACCGATATTTCTCATAAGTGATTCGAATTGAACGAGCATAGTACAATTCAACGAATGGCTAGTTGAAATGTTATTCACACGTTGTATCGTTCTTTTTCTCACGGATAAATGACTCTCAATTATTGCACTTAATTGCACGCAACACTCGCCGTCCGTAAAGCGACGAGATCGCACACGACTATAGCAGAGAACGTTGAATTAAAACGAAAAAAAAAAATCGAATCCAATGCATTCAAACTTTGAATTACATTATAAAATTGTTGGGTTTTCTTTAAAATTGCATAATAATGTTGATCTTAAGTAAGAATATTTTTATTTTATTTTAAACTAGTATTTTAACAAATATGAATGTGTTATATGTAATATAAGCACATACGCAATGATTGGAATCAGAAAAGTTGTTTATTATCTTGGCACGAGTACTTCCAGCGCTTTGTAACGATGGAAACTAGCCATTCCTGGAACGTTGGACCACCGTTCCAGAAAACGCTGCGCAAAAGTACAAACAAAGTTACTGTTGCGTAACGATGCATCGGGAAACAGTAAAAGCGAGCCTCGAGCAGAAGCTGTCGAAGAACAGCTACCGTCTATCGCGTCGCTGTTAAAGAAAAGGAAAAATGAACTGGTCGCTCGAGTAAAAGGCCGACACGCCGAGTATTTCACGCTTCTCGGAAAACGATTAAGGACGCAACACCTATGCTATGTACGTGCAAACTACGATACTCGTTCCCTTGGCCAGGCTGCCTACAGAAACTGCTTATGTTTCTCTGTCCTCCAAGGTCGGACATTGCAAAATGGTCCTGTGTCGGGAATATTAACCCCTTTGATTGTCAAGCTAAACTGAAAGGCACAGTTAAAGCGAGGGTCTCGTTAATTCCATAGTGTTGACAAGTGGAGAGGATGGTCGCTAAGCAACAAGTAAGATTGGGAAAGATGGTGGAATATACGCTTTGTACATCTATTGCTAATTGGATCGATTTTCTTGGTTATTACGGGAATCTCGATTAATGCACGAATTTTCAGTTCAATTTTCTTCCAATAATCGAGATTCTGTTCTAGTCTGATCCTCCTTCAAGTGAATCTCAAATGGTATCAACAAAATTCGAAAATAATACCGAATTTTTAAATAGAAAAATACTCGCTATCTTCTCACGAGACAATCTAAACATTTCTTGTACACGTTCACATCGGTAATAAAGCTCTGTTTGCAGGAGAACTTCATCACACGGTTCTTTGTGTCTCTCGAAAAAGTGGGCCACTACAAAGATAACGTGTCGGTTAAATCGTTTCTACCGTAATCATTACGTAAAGGTTTCAGCAATTACAGATCCATAGTCGGCGACGCATCGTGCAATTAGAAAAAAGTCGTAGCAGTCTTGCCAAGCTTCCCTTCGCGAGGGTTAGCGTCACATCACTTGATACGGTTAACACAGATTGGAGTTAAGCAACAATTGATTATTCCGCGATTGCTTTTGTAATTGATTACAAGAAGTAATCATGGTAATCACGATCACCAATCGAGTGACTATTGCAATTAATCAGTATTCATTAACCAGTCAGTTTTAAGGCTTTTACTTGTATTTCTACTTCCATAAATAATATGCACTTGCTTTTTACTCGCATAAATAACTGTGAAATACGGTAACACGAAATAGAGTAATCAATGAAGACGAACATGTACTGATAAATACTTTTATTTATTTGTAAGAAATTTTAATTAACCATAGTTTCGTTAATATGTTTTCCTTAATTTTCAAATTTTCATCTTTTCCCCCTAAATATTTACGTACAATGTATTAAATGCTTAACAATATCGCCTAGCAATCTCTAAAATCATATCGCTATAAGACCTGTTTAACAACGCAAAATCATTAATAATATTATGAAGAAGTGCGCCGAGAGATAATATTCAATATTCATTGAGCATATGCATTGGACTCTTATTCCATGAAATTTTGAAAATAATAATTGTATCATCGTTTTGTGAAAAATCATTTCGTGTTAGTCGTAACAAGTTGGTCGAATATCTGGAAAATCGTCTGGAGTTGCTAGTTTGTTCTAGTGAAAATGTCGAGTGCAAAAGGTTAAATCGCCTCGACGCGACGCGACACGCGACACGACACGACGCCGACGCGACCAGTCGACCGGATAATTTTTCTATCTACCCACGACCATAAAACGGTACTATTGTATATGCCTTTATCGTGAGACGAATATCGATCTATCTCCCCGTTAATCGGTGAACTTAGCACGTGACGATCCAACCTCGTTCAATCGTCTTGCAGATCAACTATTTCCAACCATTTACACACTCTTGTTTAACTTTTCAACTATTGCACTCGAACAAAAATTAAATAGAGAAATAAGAAACAATATTTTCAATCTACGCGCTTTCTCCGCATTTAAAAGAAAAAAATAAATTGTATAAAATGTTATAGTAATTATTGTAAAGACTATGTATGTATAAATAAAGATTATGTACTATCCCAATCAGAGGCTTGTCTAAAACTGCATTCAATCGACTTTTATGTGGTCTTTATCAATAGTTTCATCAAATTTACTTCTTTCTACCAAGTATAGATAAAAATGTGTAAATCGAAAAACTTGTTTTCTGTTTCTTTTTTTCCAGGAGCCTATTTAGGAGGCAACAAACTAGTTTCGTTCTATACGCCAATGGGCAATTGCTATTTATCTTCTTTTATGACACCGATAAATCCTTTAACTAGGTCGAAGAATAGAACAAAGTAGTGAGTGTACGAGCAATAAAATCTTAATCACACACCATTGACTGTGAAATTCGTAGGCGAAGACAAACACCTTTAAATTCAAAAAGATAAAATAGAGGACGAAAAAATATCGCTAAAATTTTCATGGAATAAAAACATCGTCAAAAATGTATAAAAAAAAAAAGCTAATAATTTGATATTAGGTGCACTCCATGAATAACTAAACGTGGCTGAAATAAAAAGGCGACGGTCCTTAAGAATCCAATATGTACAACTTTCGTTTCCTCCCTATCGTAAACCGATTATCAAATTCGACTTAATTGAAATCGCTAGCGAACAAGGTTGCGCACCGCTCTCGCTATTTTGATCGGTCAATTCTGTAACAGCCTGTATGAACAACGTAATGAAATAAGACGTCATCGATAAATCACAGGTTTGTGGCGTAAATGCAAGCAAGATTGCCGTCAACGACGCAACGGTCTTTCGAGGCTCGTCAACGGCAGACAGATGAAACGACGACAATAAAGCCAATAATGGAAAACGTACCTGGGGGATATTGGCGTTGAGCAGACGATTCAAAGAGTCCCGTTCCTTCTCGACCTCCTGCAACCGTGCTTCCGTTTCCTGCAACTGTGTCTGGCTGACGCGCAACGATTCCATCAACTTGTCCCTCTCGTCGAGCATGGTGACCATCAGCTGCTCGAAGTTCGCGTCCTCGCCGGAGAACTGCGAACTCCGCTGGCTGATGCTGTCCTCCGCGATAGTCGGCATCACGTCGCACATCACGTTCCACATTTTGCGTATATCCTTACTATTCTCAAACTCCGGTACACTGGCAACTCCACACGAAATGCACGCGAAACGTAAACCGGAATAATCACAGACACAGAGGAGACACGCGCGCGGGAGATACGTGCACTCGCGCGAGACGAATCCCTTTCGGTTCCTCTCTTCCGATACGTTTTAGTCCGTTTCCGATCTTTTCAGGTAGTCATTTTCCTCGATTCCTTTGCTCGCGGTCTCTCACTTTTCCACGTTGCTTTGTCTCGTTTCCTCACTCCTCTCGGTCTCGCGAGCCGACATCCACACGCCGGAATCCGCTATCTTCCTAAACGATAAACTATTCTATAGAGATAATTACAATGTTTATATAAACACAATTTCGAATAATGAACGTAACTGAGACGCTAATAGAGTCTTTATGCTTTATGCGTTACACTCGTCATCAAAATGAAAATCTGAGTTATAAGATAAAGTACAGTTGGATCCCTGTAATTCAAAGGTTTATTCCTTTCCCTTTGTAAACACTTGTTAGCTCGAGAGATAAACAGAATTCAGTCACTTGACCTCTGCAACTTAAATTTATAGAAATTGACTCGTAAAGGTTGGAACACAATTCACCGATTTCTAACGGTCCAAACTTGGACTGTACTTTTCCTTAGTATGTTACATTCTACTAACAATAAGTTCCGATTCGATGATACTGGTGGTAAGCATGTAGTCGAGCACAGGGCATGGCTGTCTATTCTTTGCTTATTAAAAATGATCTTTTCAAGAATGTAATACGTTCAAACATAATAAAATCACCGATTTCTCTACAATTTCTCAGTAATTAGATATTCAAGAAAATAAACATAACCCCAAAATACAAACAAAGATACTAATTTCTAATCTGAATTGTACTAATTTTAAATCAGAACTGCTTACAAAATCTTTAATATCATAGTGTACAAAGAAAAGTTTCACTATTAAATCGAATGTAGATCGCGAATAAATCGCTATACGTTGTTTTTATTAATCATTTACTAGTCGAATAAAATGTTGCCCACCTCTGCTATTCTACTGCGAGGAACACACGAAATCCTACGTCGAATGTTTACCTCGCGACAGAAACTTTTCTTTCGTTAACTGATACCTATAGGTGGAATCATCGCTCGAATAACAGTTCAACAGTTTCACGTTCAACGTCGCTTGGCCGGCTACGAGAGCCGACTCACCACAACCGAAACTCATGTCTCATTTTCACCACGGTGCCAAGCATTCTTTCGTCCGTTTCTATTGTTGTTTACGGAAAGGGATAATCGATGTGTCCGGCGTAACTCACGAGGCGGTTGCAGACGACGGGAAACCAAGTCCCTTCGAAAAATCGATCGTTGTGTACGCTTCGAAAACTCGAGGGGGGGCCCAAAGCACGCGATCGGTCGCAGATAGATCGATATACAAGCCCGTTCGTTTGGCCAGAGTCCGTTTTGACAGATTACAAAGAGGATTCGCCGGACACACTGCACGCAGCGCACGCTTTTGATATCTTATGCACCGACTCGACACGCGAACCCTTCTCTTTCCATCTCGTCTTTTATCAGATACGAAGCCAGCTACTTTCAATCGGAAAACCTCAATGCAGATCTGACACCCACGGGGCGCGCTCAGCTCTCTCCCGGAGCCGGGCAGGCGAGTCTGACAACCGCGGAGAATCGTCCAAGAGCACGGGGCGATCGCTCGGCAGGCCACCGTTTATTTTCCACTTCGATCTCATTCAGACGTAGTTTCGACGTATCCGTACAACACTGGCGTTATCACTGGCGAATTCGCGACGTATCAACTAGACCAAACTACTGTCCCAGGTCAGGATAGTCCGGGTACGAGACTCGCTCCGTTCAATTTCGCTCTCCTCCGAGAATTTCGCGATTTATCATCTCACCATTCAAGACTCGGCTGACGGAACGATTCCGATCGTACGTACGAGCACTGCGCGAAGCGCCGATCAACTTGCAACGATCGGCATTTCGATGGCATTATCGCGGTGAAGCCGAGCACTGACACACCTACGGTTCGTTCCTACCGCCCAGCCTCTATGCTACTCCATTTCCGATACCGGCGGCCATCTTGCGCCGTGACGTCAGCCTCTGTCCCCGAAGGTGCGTCCGACTCCACCCGACCGCCAGACGACTCCAACCGACTGGCCAAGTTTACAATTGCGCGGCGGGATCGATGATCGTTTAGGTCGTCTCTGCAACGAACTCGTCTCGAAACACCGCGGTACATTTAAACTCGCTCCGTTTCTACTTCCGTTTCTAACATTGATCATTGATTAGTCCACATGGTATATGAAACAATTTTACAAGCGCACATTTTAAACACATTTTTTATATGCATCGGCGTCCCATGTTACAGAATAAGATATCTTTTCTTTATATATTGTAATAAACTTAAAAATAAACTCACTCCAATTAAGAATTTAATTATTACTCTCTAACGTAGAGTGCATTCCATGTTAATGTCTTTTTCTTTAGCTGCAACAATCATTTAATATCTGAATATACTCGGAACGTATGAAATGTGTACTATTATTTATACATATAATTTGAAAGTCTTCTCTTAATTGAAATAATTTTGCACTTATTGGCATTAAATTTTATTTAACCAGTTTCGAAAAAGATCGAAACGTTAATAAAGATTCATCAATTTTTCTTTCTTATTATTTATGGATACAAGCGTACCCATCAATATTAATGATTTTTTAAGATAGTAGTGACAAATCAGTATCTATTACATATTTAAAAGCACGATCCTGTAAACATTGAGAGGTATGAACAAGAAATTTACATTATTTTTCAGAAGAGTTTAAAGTTTCCGCGTAAAAATAATTCGAAATACAATAGATATTCTATTTACGCTAAAGAGAAGCGTTGGAAAGACTAATTTACAATCAATAATTAATACTACTGATGTTTAAGTTTCGTTAAAGTTTAGGAAATGACTAACGCTCACAGATCTATTTCTACAAATTCGACGCTATTTATCGCGATGATTTCGATCGAGGTGAAAGAGAGGGAAAAATTGGGAAGGCTAAACTTTCCGGAAGACTGAGACTGCGCTATAACGTGAGATGCTGGATGATCAATACCAAACGCTGTGTCAGATTCTGGACCACGGAGTACAGTTGAGAGAGACAGACAGAAGCGAGCATTATGAAAACAGTAACCCATACTTGCACACCAGGAGCTACCGGTAAGTAGGCCAGTTTTAATTCAGAATACCCTCAAACAATGCGAAACCTGTAACAATTAACAAAACATTGTATCCCATTAGAAATAGCCAATCATAAATAACGGTTTATTTACACCTTTATCATCCCATAAATTTCAAAGTAAATTTCCATTTATTTATTTCCCTAGCCTACTTTGTTAATTGTTAACGTAACAAAGTGTAACATGCTCCAAAAATATCTCTCAAATGAAAAAGATCGTTTTTCGGGAGTGTTTTGGAGCAACTGTGAGACAGCTGACATCTTTCAACTTTTCTCTTTCTCCGAGTACTTTGTATTGGTACAAATTTTAGATCTATCCGGAGACGATTCGATCGAGGATATCGCCGAATCGGTAGATGAACTGCGCGAAAAATTGGCGAACATGAAGAGGTTGATGGAAGAACGAAAGGGGTCCACCCTGGGCGAGATAAGTGCCAAGAAGAGAAAAGAGACCTCGGACATTATAGATGGCAATTTTCTGTCTTGGATATTCGGCTTGGCGCTAATCGTCATCCTGAGTGTCAGTTTTTATGCCTTTTATAATCTCTACCATGCGGTCTTGAAGAAGTTCCCATCCCATCATACAGAACTTTAAAAAAAAAAAAGCTGATGCTTGCCTCTGTCGGTAATCTCGAACAATTCTTTAATGATTAAATTACTATAACACCGTCATAATTTTCAGACGAGGTTGGTGAATGAATCCTTACGATCGGTTTGATAAAATTGCGATACAGGTAATGAAACACGTGCCCGACTTTTTCAAGCATCTTGGATGTACTCTATCCGCGTATCCAATAACTGATGAATGAAGAATAAACAAGTCCAAAAGGGACAAATCATATACGTGTTGCGCGGTTTTCGCGGGAAAATACGACTAGCAGTACGTTTGATCCCATTTTGAGTTCCAGCAACATCTTATGGGAACTATCGACTTAAGAAGAACAATTTAAGAAAAGAGATAGAAGATCGAACAACAGCAAATATGTTCCTTTTACGTACGTTTGCGGAGTTCAACAATAATTTTATAGAACTTTTTTTCGATCGAAAAATGCTTTCTTTTAGTTTCTTCAATCTTCGCATACATCCACAAACAGACGTAAAGTTTTCCATCTGATGACAGCTTCATGTAAAAATCCATTTATCGAACAACTACCGAGTTACGCATTGGAAGAGACGCAAGTTACTTGAAACAACTTCCCAGAATATTCTTTTTCGTATGTTCATGTGTGGAGTATATGGACAAATCTGCAGTTCTACTCGGATGGGACACTTAAATCGGACCACCTGAAACTACTTTGATTTTAGGTACATAAACAAATGTATTACTTTAAGTTAGCAGTACAAAAGTAAGAAAGTTAAGGTGGTCTGTTTTCAAGGCCTGCCCTGTACCAAATGTTCTCCTAACTTTATCGTATAATACTGCTTGCGAATAACATCTTTATCATTTTTGTTTTCTGGTGGGCACGAGTGATTTGTTCTATTATAGTATCATCTAATATGTAGAGTCATTTCCAATTATTTTACTTATATATCGAAGACAAAACTTCCACGGATTATTACTATCGTATTATTATTATTATTATTATTATTATTATTATTATTATTATTATTA